TCTTCATGGGAAGCTGAAATGGGCTCAAGATCTGAATAAGAAGCAAGGTTCAGATATGAACAAAAAGTCAAGACAGAAAGGTACAAGAAAACACACTATGGCAAACATGGCTACTCAGGAGAATCAGCCCCCCATTCATACTGTGACTCAGACACATTCATCTGGATCTAACCCAAGGGAAGATATTATAAATTCCTTTTGTGACCATTTAGAGCTCTATGGTAGAACAATTCGTCAGATGGATGCTCCTCCCTCAACTTCATTTGTGTCTACATCAGGTAACTCTGCCACAGCTTTCCATGTTGCTTCTCATAACCCTAACACTCCCTAGATCATTGATTCTGGAGCGTCAAAACACATGACTGGTTCGTCCTCTTACTTTCAAACCTATCACGTTCTTTCTAGAAGAGACAAGGTGAAACTAGCTGATGGATCATATACTACCATAGCTGGTCAATGAACCATTTCTCTCCCTCTCAGCCTTACCCTCTCTGATGTTTTACATGTTCCGAAATCTCCCATTAATTTGTTCTCTGTTAGTAGTATTACTAATTCCTTAAACTGCTTACCTTTTTCCCTTCTTACTGTGTGATCCAGGATCTAGCCTCGGGGAGGACGATTGGTAGAGGATGTATGGTTGATGAACTTCACATGCTGGAGAATAAGGCTGGTCTTCAAGTCACAGAGTCTAAGATTCAGTCCTGTAAGAGTCAAGTTTATTTATGGCATTGTCGTCTTGGTCATTTATCTTTTGAGTCTTTGAAAGTGGTGTTTCCAGAATTGTTTAAGTCAGTGTCCGTTTCAGATTTCTCTTGTCAAACTTGTCAATTGAGTAAGCAGTGTAGAACTCATTTTCTTTCAAAAAATAATAAATCTGAATTTCCTTTTCACATTGTTCATTCTGATGTGTGGGGCCCTGTTACTTTACCATCTGAGAGTGGCTACAAGCATTTTATTACCATAATCGATGATTATTCTAGATATACATGGGTATATCCCATGTGAACCAAGGATGAAGTACCCAAAATTATCCAAGATTTTCAGCGAATGGTCACAAAGGCCAACCAAATTCAAGAGCTGTGGAGAATCTAGAAGTTATACCTCCAATGCCATTAAACTCTTCAGGGACGGATCATACCCACTCAGGTATCTTGGTTCCCATTGATGTTCCTGACCCCATTGTAGTTGATACCTCTGTTGCTAATGACCTTGACATTCCTATTGCTCACAAGAAAGGTGTTAGATCGTGCACCACTAAACACCCCATTTCCCACTTTGTTTCCTATGAAAACATTTCACCYTCTTTTCGAGCCTTTCTCACATCCATTGACAGTGTCCCTATCCCTAAGAATGTGGCARAAGCTYTTTCAGTACCTRAATGGAYARATGCTATGAAGGAAGAAATTAATGCCCTTCATAAAAATGGCACATGGGAACTTGTAGATCTTCCTAAGGGAAATGATCCAATTGGATGTAAATGGGTGTTTATAGTCAAACATAGGGCTAACGGCACGGTGGAGAGGTATAAAGCTCGTTTAGTGGCAAAGGGGTTTACACAAGTGTACGGAGTTGATTATGTAGAGACTTTTGCACCCGTTGCCAAGATGAACTCCATTAGAGTTCTATTCTCTCTTGTTGCTAATCTTGACTGGAATCTACATCAACTTGATATCAAGAATGCATTCTTGAATGGTGACCTTGAAGAGGAAGTTTACATGATACAACCCCCTG